TTGAATAAACTCGTACGTCAGAATCTCGTTTAAACAATCGGTTGTTATGGAAAATGATTCTAATCATATTGGAGATGATAAAAAAATTGAATGATAAAAATAGGAACTCTAGGAAACATAAGAAAAATGAGAATGAAGAAAAAGGATGTTGTGGACATCGGTTGTTGCACGTTGAGTTGGTAATGGGTGGTGGTGGTATTTGAATAAACTCGTACGTCAGAATCTTGTTTATACAATAATCGGTTATTAGAGTCTTGAAAATGATTCTAGTCATATTGGAGATGATAAAAAATTGAATGATGAAAATAGGAATGCTAGGAAACATAAGAAAAATGAAAATGAAGAAGAAGGATGTTGTGGACATCGGTTGTTGCACGTTGAAACTTTCGCGTAAACACGCTTTCGGATTACTTCCTCGGCTAACGCTATCTGGGGAATTATCAATTAGAATTAATTAGCAATTAAGCCAGCCGGCGGGGCCAACTTGCTGTGAGTTAGTTCGAGAACTGTGCGTAGAAGAGAGTGAGTGAGTGAGTGAGAGAGAGAGAGAGAGAGAGAGAGAGAGAGAAAGAGAGAAGTCGACGACTTGGATCTACTCAGACGGATTTTCATTTGACTGGATTTCGTTGGCTTAGAGAGGGGGTGAGTTTAGAAGGGCAAGAATAAACCGTACAATAATCTCGAGAAATTCTCTCACGGCTACTCTCATCGTCATAGGGCGTCCCTTTAATTTCGGAAATCCCGGATTACCGGAGACGAAATCGTCTCGATGAAAAAAGAAAACGAAGAAGAAGAAGAAGAAGAAGAACGAGGTGATGATGACGAAAGATGAGAATGAAAAGACGAATATAAATAAAAAAAAAAAAAAACAAAAAAAAAGTAGAAAAAACGTAAAAGATTCTTTGATGACTAGATCATCAGTGAACGTTCGAGAGTATTTTTCGTTGAGAAGAGACACATATATCCCCTTTTTCTATCTAATGTCATTTCGTATTCATCGTGTATCATAATTTCTCACGGTGTAAAAAGAACCGGTTTATTCTTCTACCCGGTAGAAGAAGTACGTACGCGTATCGCGAATGTGACTCACGAATTTTCTCAAGAAGATTCCATTCCTCATATTTCTACCGTAGGAGAGTCTATTTTTTTTTTTTATTTCGAAAGATCCGCTACTTCTAAGTATACATGTATGTATATATATATATACATACATACGTATTAAATGTAAATGTAAATTGTGTTAGATAGAATCTACCTACCTCTTCTAAGTTACAACTAAGAAAGAAGATTGCGGAATACGGTGCAATAGACACAAAAGTACGATGATAGTTGTAATATCTATTAACCGGTGATTCACGTGTTTCTATCGTTAGAATGAAAATACTATTGAGACTACGTAATAATAACAATGGCGCCAACGGAATATTTTTCAAACTACATATGGCGTATCACGATCATTTTCTGAATCGCTTTTATAGAACAGAGGAGTGGGGAAGGGAGATACGATGATAACGTTGCTGACGCAGTCCAGTAATAATCCTTATCAACGAGTGAGAAACTCGTATAAGCAATGACGTATTATTTTAATATACTCTGTCAATAATTTTAGATTCATTTGTTTGTAACATAATCAACGATTCATTAATAAATCAACAAAATATCCTTCCTCGGATTGCGGAAGAGAACAAAAATGATATCTACGCGTATGCATGAACTGAAATGAGAGAATGAGAGAATGTGTGTGTGTGTGAGAGAGAGAGAGAGAAAGACTGAACCGTTTGCTGATCGAGAACGGAAAGGGAGAGAGTATTTTTAGCGGTTACACATTGTTGTTGACTGCTTCTGGCGACATTGAACCGCGCGGACTCGCGAGACTGGCCTCTATAGTAACGCGATGCCGAACCAACACGCGTGTTGGCACGCCTTTACGCGAGTGTTCGATCAGAATCCACAATAGGGACGACGACTACATGGCTACACGTTCAAAACGCCTAGTATATACAGGGTGTTCAAAATGAACTAACATTCAGTATTTATTGGGTTGTTAGGAAAATGATTTCGTTTTTCTTTTGTGAAAATAAAGACAATTTTTGATTTCAGGTTAAACCTAGGCCCTTCGAGTTCGCTTAAATAGTTGAATTTGATGAATTTAACCTTTCATCGTTCTTACGTTTTAGTATTTGCTGGTTTGCATCAACTAATGACTTTATTGTGTCAGGAAAAAACGAAATTACTTTCTGAACAATCCAATATATGATATATGGCACACACTATACTCAACTAATAATGTTACTATGATCAAATTTTTAAGTAAACGTGTTAGTGGCGTTGAGTTTTGATCAAAGACTGAACGATGATTCGTTCATGGTAACATTTTTTTTTGTTAGTAATGTTACTATGATCAAATTGTACAAACTTTTAGGTAAACGGTGTTAGTGACGCTGAAGTTTGATCAAAGACTGACGATGATTCGTTCATAGTAATATGAAATGCACTGTACTCAATAAAAAAATGACCTAGTAATGTTACTATGATCTAATTATACAAATTTTTAGGTAAACAGTGTTAATGACGTTGAAGTTTGATCAATGACTGACGATGATTCATTCATAGTAATATGAAATACACTGTACTCAATAAAAAAATGACCTAGTAATGTTACTATGATCTAATTATACAAATTTTTAGGTAAACGGTGTTAGTGACGTTGTAGTTTGATCAAAGACTGACGATGATTCGTTCATAGTAACATGAAGTGCACTGTACTCAATAAAAAAGTAACTAGTAATACTATTTAAGTAACTAGTAAACTAGTATTACTATGATTAAATTGAACAAACTTTTAGCAAAACGATGTTAATGACGTTGAAGTTTAAACAAAGACTGACGATGATTCGTTCATAATAATATAAAATGCACTGTACTCTATAAAAAAGTAAGTAGTAATGTTACTATGATCAAATTGTACAAACTGTTAGGTAAACGGTGTTAGTGACGTTAAGGTTTGAACGATAGTAGTA